TGGTTTACTGCGGCAGAATATGCAGCCAAGTCCTCCCAAGGTCCAAGACGATGTATGGGCATACATGGCAGGCTATCAGTGGGGTAACCACCTGCATATTCTCATACCCTTCTCTCAGCAGCTCACTAGGTTATCCTGACAGTTCAGTCCAGTCAACAATGGGTTGGAATCCAAATGAAGTCCAATGAATTCACTAGCACTATTTCAACTAACTATTTCTACACTTAAATCTTAATTTATTCTAAATATGAAAATTATGACACCGGGGGTCACTTGAATTATTGCTAGCAACCATTCAAGCTTTGAGTCTTGTGTCTTAATCCAACCTGAGATAAAGCCTACTAAAGTAAATTGAAATCATGCTATTAGGGATTAACCCCCAACAAAATTAAATACTAAGTTACATCAATATATTTTCCTCCATGGATGTTTGTTAGAAAAAAAAAAGACATAGCTGTGGGCATGGTGGAGCTTTACTAATGCTTAAAACCTGTCTGACAAGTGTTCCCATTCATTTTCATGGCAATATAGATGAAAGAACCTTTAGTGTTTCAAAAATGCAACCAATCTTTATTTGTTGCTCATGAGTAATTCATGGATCCAACAATATTCAACAAAATTTCTTCATTTTTAACATTTTTCATAAAGAGTATCATTTTACAGAAACCACCAACAAATAAATATATGAAAGCAATTGCTTTTGACATCACAATGATTAAACACATTAAATAATTCATTAAATTGTGCTTTACATCAATGAAAATCCCTAGGTCTACAAACTATTTGTTAATTAGGAATAAAAGTAGATATGGTTACTCACAATACAATCTCTTAGTAGCAGAGGTCACACACATTATTGCACAAACAAAAAGAAAATGCCTAAAGCATAGAATAATTTACAGTCTATTAACTTACTCTTTCATCTAAAATATGGCAACCGATGGGAACTCCTGACATTTTTTTTTTTGCACTTCCAATGTTTATTTGAAATCACCGAGCTAGTGAGATGGCCAAGGAGAATGTCAAGGACATTTCAGGCTACAGAATCCACTTCTCTCCACAAAATATCAACATGGAAATAATACAAAAATCAAACAGAGAAGTGTGTTAATGCAAGCTGGGTAATTTTTCTGAGTGTGCTTTTGCTACATGTAGGAAAGATGCGTGGAAAACATATGTTCCATATTCCAAAGCAAAGAAAGAAAATTCCTGTGTAAATCAAGGAACAGTAATGGAGGGGAAAAAAAAGCAGCATCAATGAGATGACATATTTCATAACATCAGTGCTTGGTACTAAGACAAGCTGCAACCAGGAAATGAGAACCCACCAGCGCAGAAGGAAGCACATCTTAACGAGAAAGCCAGCTTCAGAGAGGTCCCGCTCCACACATGATCACTAGGGATACCTGGGTCTCTTCCAGCACTGGTAGCCACCCTGGCTGGTGGTCGGCACTGGCTCTAAAATATTTCCACATTCAAAGGTCACGCGGCCTCTTTGGTATTGCTGAACAGACTTGCTGAAGGTAGGATGGTTTCCTCCCGCTTGGTGAAGGAAGTATTTGATTGTTAACACTTAGGAGAAGGGAAGACAAGATGAATTTTCGTTTCTTAATAAAGTACAGTCCTATTGGCAATAGTCGGAGTTCTTGGACCAGACATTAAATTATCAGGAACAGGAGCCCCAAGTTTTACCAACACAGCACGTTTCTCTGTCCACCCCAAGCCTACAGCAAATTATAACTGGGAAAGGCAGCCAGCGCTAGGCATGTGATGGAGGAGATTAGTAAGTACATCTCCATTACAAAAGAGTGAGATTCGTTTCAGCACCACAGTAGCAGAAGCCAAATTGCCTTGTTTAAGCAATAAAATAATGCCAGGAAGATGGACAGAAATCCTATAGCGTTGCTGCTCACAAAGGTTTTGAAGGGAACACGCTGAGCTCTGATCTTACATAAGCCAGTGTAATTACAGTGAAGTCCGTGCTGTCAGAGCAATGAAAATCTGGAATAACAGAGATATGAACCAGGACCTTCATTTTGCTTTTGCATTACCCTAGTTTGGGCACGGCGCTGGAGAGGAAAAAGCTGTGAGCCCGTGTCTTAGTAGAAGTCAGCTTGAAAGTATTTCAAAACTGCTCTATTTTGATGGGCCAGGAAACCCTGGTCAGAACAACACTACCATGGACGTACTGCGGCTGCTGCTGTAGATCGTGAAGGAGCCACCAGGAGCCTTCAGGCCCATGTGGACCGGAGATGGCGAGCTCTCAACCCCTCCAATACTCCTGCATAAACAGTGGTCTGTGCTACACATGCTTGGGGGAAAAAAAAAACCTTCAATTTTAACTAAATCCCAAGTGCTGCTGTAAATCCTGTTAACATGGATGCTACAGCACATTAGCGGTTCTTCCGGACCCTAATAGCGTCTCCTGGGAAATGACTGACTAAAAGGTTGGGCATCGCATTAAGGTATTGCCAAAATATTAACGCAAATGTAAGACGCCCTAAGACTGCTCTGATCTTCATCATTAGGTTTCTGTTTTGTGTCACGCAGCAGAAAGAGTCTGGAGAGCTATTGGTGTGCTTAGGCAGCTGAAACTGATACTTGCAGTAACTGGTGAGGCTGCAGGGAACAATTTCTGATCTCTCCCTCCTCTGCCCTGAGAAGATAATACCCCATTTCCAAAATGAAAAATGAGGCACCTGCTGCTGCAAGCGGTGCAGGGAGGGAGGCAGGAGCAGAGTGTGAGGAAAGGGACCCACCTCAGACTTTGAAGGAAAAAATAGGGATGCTTTACAAAAATGAAAAATAAAGGCATGCTGGAACTGACTTATTTTGTTTTTCTTCTTCCTTAATCTGAATTTGCCTTTCCTTTAATGACTTTGCTGTTGCCGTGCCCAGGACACGCACAGTGTGATTCAGCTCCAATTTATGTGAACGTTTAGATTTAAATGCCTGAATATAAGCATCCATATCGGAGTGAGGTGCCTAAGTGCCTATTCCCAGCCAGAGGGATTTAATTAGTACTGTCAGTGGAGTCCAGAGAGCTGCTCAGCATTTTCGACAGTAGCCAAAAAAACATTCCTGCATTCTCCCTTCTCAGCGCAAAGGTGCAAGGAGATGTGTGTGATCCAGCAATGCTTCCATTGACATGGAAGGGACCATGACATTGACATTAGGTACCAAAAAATATTGCTACTTATCCAGAAAGTATAGTGATAATCAGACATAAACTAGAAAATTGCTAGTGAATTACAGTGATAATGTCATCCCTTTAACCCTCTTCTTAATAGCCTTTACAATATATTATCATGTATTTTTGTTTGCACAAACTCCCAACAGGACCGTTGGATTATCTCTTTGATAATGTTGCGAATAAATAAGTACCATCAGCATTGCTGGAGCAAAAAATAAATCAAATCAAATCAAATAAGCAGCACACACAAAAGTAAGAAATTTAGAAAGGAGGGAACAAATTTGTAAAATCAGCCTATTTTTCTGCAGCACATTCAACTTTTAGTGATTGCTAAAAAACTTGAACTGTGAAAACAAATGAGACATGCATCCACACTGGATACTCTGATATCTCTAATTGGCAAATCTGTAAGGTAAAAGCCATTCATGTGTGCAATAACATACTTTCAGCATCTCGGTTTAGCAGCCATATGAGGCACTTAAAGAAGTTTCCTCCTAATGTTTGAGATTTATGCCAGCAGAAGGAAAAGTACTCTCTGAAAAGATCTATGATGCACAGGACCCTCTTTTTGAAATCCCACTATTACAAATATAGCCAACATAAAATCTTGGAATAAATAGATGCAGTTGAGCTGCAAGAATGTAACCTGTGGTGGAAGAACCCATCCAATCTTTTTCCAGACAAAGAAGAAAACCAGACACGGATATCTGTGTTCATGAAAACAATACATTTACAAAGAATCTTCATACAGAGCAATAAATATCAAGACTTTTCACATATCCATTAACTATCCTGTAAAAATGAAAGCTGATTTTTTTTTTATCCACTACTGTTGTTAGAGAGAAAACCAATTTAAATTGTACTCACTTGGCATCAGTGTATTTTAAGAGACAATGTCATAAACCTGCCTACCTTCACAGATGCTGTATCTCCAGGCTTTTAGGGCAAATCTGGAAAATGTCACACTAATGTTTAAGCTTTTCCCACTCTGTTTCCTTTTCTTATACTTCGCTTGGCGCCTCTTCACCTCTTGTGAATGAAGGCCAACTTCACTGCCTGCAGCCAGCCAGTCTCTGCAACATGTGCCCAGCTGCACTGGACATCTCATTTCTCAGTCTTTGCACTCTGGCTTTTTCTTTGCCACACACACTTAAAAAGACAGCTGCTATCTGGCTGGGTTTGGTGCTCTTAACATCTGTGAAGGTACAAGCTAAATTCCCCATCTCTTTACTCACAAACTGTCCCTGACTGCAGTCTTAAAAAATGAACAAACCAATGAACAAGCAATCTCACATGTTTCTTAGGCATTTTTAATCACCTCAGCAAATTTTTTCCTTAACCAAAACACAGCATATATAAGCTTGAAGAGCAATTTTGCTCTTCTCCATTTCATTACTGGAAAGCTATGCCACTACAGTTGTCCTTTGCCACTACAGTTGTAAAGGACAGCAGGAAGTAAGCCAGCAGCCAACTATCACAGAAGAACCGAAAGGATTTTTCTTTTCAGTTTTGATTCATGTCTGCACAAGTTTCATTAGCTCAGATTGTATAGGGTACGGCTGTTAATCCAAAAGAAATAGCTCTCTGTTCAACCCATTCTCATAGCTTAGGGCTTTGAAGGAAGTCTGTTTGGATAGGAACCTATTCTGCTGCCATTTAATAACACTGATTAATGTCTATTAAGAAAAAAAAATGTATTCTCCTCACTGACAGAAACCAAGAAAAACTGAGACAAGGAAGGATAGTTGTCAGACTTTGTCTTGTTTGCCAAAGCAAGGGCCCTTCCTTGTCTGATTTCTGCGTAGCCTAGTTGCACAAAATACCATCCTCTCTGATGCTCATCATCTAGTCAAGAGGCAGGAGTGTCACCATCTTGCAACCTGACTATTATAATCTTCAGTAACAGCAACTTGTGCTGCCTCTACCTCTTCCTTTGGCCACTGGTGAGCTCTCTGCTCCCGCAGCAGCCTCCGCTCCTCTCGCCTTTTAAGCCGATTCTTCTGATGCTCCTCTTGCTTGGAGTACTGGAAGCGCTGCAAGAAGAGGTCCTTTGCGTATTCATAGAGCTGCATGTCCAAGAAATTCAGCTCCTCTATCCGTTGCCGCACACCCTCATCTATGTCCACATTGGAGGCCCGTGTAACATTGAACTGGGTGAATGGGGAAATGAATTTCAGGTTGAATGTCCTCTCAAAGAGATACTGCGTTTTCCTCTGAAATTCTGTGAGTCCAAAGAAGGCCATATTTTTCAGATTGTTCTTGGCGCTTTGGAGAAGGATCATATTTCTTTCGCTCTCATTCATAAAAGTCAAGTTGTAACATCCCACCAGGCTGAGGTCTGCCAGCATGCGCACCTGGCGGTTGTTGGCTAAGTTGTAGCTACAATCCATGAATTCCTGCAAACTGACTCCAGACCAGTCTTCTCCCTTGTAACAGGTAGGAAGCTCGTCGGGCGTTGGACTTCTTCCATCGCACATATGAAGGGAAGTTTTCCATGTCGCACCTCTCTGGACATGTTTCCACTCGCTCAAGTACCGTGACACTGGATCCCTCAGCATTGTAATGTAATAGAAGTTCCTGAAACACATCATTAAACACAGTTTTCAGATTTAGTGGATTTCACTTTATTATTCTCCAATAAAATGATTACCAGCCACCGCCACCACCCTCCTTCACTTATCCCAGTGGAAAGCAGGCAGTTAAAGTGCCTACTTGTCAGACAGTAAAAACCTTAAAGCTTGATAAGTACTGTGAATAAAATACCAGGTAGATTGGGACAAAGAGAGAGAAATGAAAGCTAATAAGCAGCTAACAGAAAAAGGAATTGCTTTGACCTCTCAACTGCTCAGTGGTAGTTACTTCGTGTAGAAGCTAATTAATTGAACTGTACTCCCCTCTACTTTGAAAATGCTAACGCGCAGTAATATCAGAAAAAGTGAGGAAAAATTGACTACAGCTGAAGGACAACATGGAGAACTGATACAACATGTCCTATCTCCCATTGGCACTGAGAAGCTCAGCAGACCCTGGAAGGACTGTACTGAGTCACCATTTTTGCCCGTTCCCTGGCAAGATAGATCTTGCCATTTCTCTTTGAGACATGCAAATGCAAAATGATAATCCATATAGTATTTGGTCAGACCATATGAGAAGGAATAATACCATGGAGATGCTGCAAGCACTAAAAATAATGACTTGTGGAAGACTGGCATGAGCGATGTACTTAAGAAGAACCCTATCATTAAATGGGCTGGAATGAAGATAATGAGTGGATGAAAATCCATTTATATGATTTAATTTTAGGCAAGTGATTGTTAAATTTAGTTATAATCATATAGTATAAAAGCATTTGTTTATATAAAGGTTATCGTTACACAACCTCACCTGTTAGGAATACAAAAGAAACACCAAGAATTATTGATTTGAAATAGAAAAAATAGCTGCAGAAATCACACTGTCAATTTGTCTTTAAGTTGCTGAATTGAACATTTGTACATATATGCATGGCAATCTGGATAAGCTTAAAGCAGGCTTTCACAATTGCACTCAATAGTTTTTTATTGAAAAATGTTTTATTCAATAACAACTAACCTAAATTAGAGGGTGATCTCATAAGGATAAAACAAAATCAAAATACTTATGATTTCTGTCAGCTAGAATAACCAGCAGAAGATTCATGACTAAAATTAACAGACAATATGATACAAAAATAGGTTCATGAGTTTGTATGACTCATCTGACTGCAGACAATGCATTAATAAATCATGAGTCCTAAGATTTCTTCAGAAAGCTCAGATCTCAATATTCTTTCTTGAATCTACACGAGGATGAAAAAAATAAGCAGTGATAGAGACAAGCTACCCTGTAAACAAGCCAGCACTTGTGAGGGCCATCTGACATAAGAGCTCACTTTAGTTGAACAAAAAAACTAGAAACTTTTAAAAATACATACATCTTTTTTTCAGATATCATTCATTTTCTATCACTGAAGACTCCCTACAGCTTCTCCAGAAACTTCAGCTTTACTTTGTCATAAAAATAGTCATGTCGCTTAGTGTTCCTTAAAATACAGACGTACGCTCCAGCTCGTAGGAATCAAAAGGAAACAGGGCTGAACATTTTGTCTCTATTCATTCTGAGTTCTTCTTCATCTGTAATATATTTTCCAGAATAAGGTCACAGGGTCAAACTATTGACTCTGTACTGTTGCAGGCTCATTTCTTGAACTACTATTGACTGGAAAGAGCTGTTTCAAAAATTATTTCACAGCAGAAGAGTAACAAGTGGAAGGATGTGAATTGGGGAACACCAAGATATTTTCATTATAACTCTCATTACAAGTCATGTGATTTGTGCTAATGACAATACTTCAAAATAATCTGAGGTCTAGGTTTTCTGGCTGCCACTCACACATGATCAAACTGCACTTGAACTATTTTGATCTACCTCAGCAACTTACACAGCGCGCATCAACAGGAAAACAGACCCACAACGGTATATGAACAGATATTCTAAAATCTGTTTTTACTATTCCTGCAGACTAGGAAGTATCAGAAATCTTCTCACGTGCTCTGCAGCAGAATGGATCCACTGTGAAAAGCCCTGTCTTCAAGCATCCCATGTACAGCTTTCCTGTCTCAAATCCAATGTTCTTCTCACCTTGTATCTATGAGAACACATTCAGAACTACGTTCTAACGAGCAGAACAAAAAGCGGACATTTCACCAGTGCTGTGAAAAGCAGACAAAAAAATGTATCTCCCACTCAAATGCCATAACCTCTCAACCTAAGACACTGTTATTGCAACATCCAAAAGGCACTAACAGAACAGTTACAGAAAAAGACTGAGACTCCAGGCAGCAGAAATGAAAAAATGGACAAAGATTCAGAGACAGTTGCCAGCAAACACAACAACAAAGATGTAGTGTTGTTTTAGTCCTTGTATTGCTACCTCTCCCATCTTGGGATAATTTTAGATGCTGACATGTGATGACAGATGGGTTTAAAAGTTGCTCTTGGCAATTATTTATACCACTAATAATAGCTTGGTCTTTCTTCACCCACTCCTAGCATTCCCATTCTGGCATGACTCAGGGCAGCAACAATTAACAAAAGTACCTCCTTTGCATCAATCATTTCCATTTCATTGCCGGATATGTAAATGCACTTAATGTGCAATGAACTAGCATATGAAGCAAATGCAGGGAAATGAGAAAAGTGTGTCTCTGTATAACTTATGCAGATTTCCTTTTGCAGGCTGGGTAAGAAACTTCGTCCAATCTGCTACCGTTCCTCCTTATGAGTAGCCAGCTTCTATGTCGTTTTTTTGCTACCCTGATTGATTTGCTCATGATCAGTCTGTGCATCTTTCTGAGTGTTTCCTCTCTGTGACAAAGGCTGAATGGCTTTTTCACATGGAATGTCCCTCCTTATGAGTAGCCAGCTTCTATATCGTTTTTTGTTATCCTGATTAATTTGCTTGTGATCGGTCTGGGCATCTTTCTGGGTGTTACCTCTTTGTGATAAAGGCTGAATGGCTTTTTCACATGGAAGCAGCCTGATACGCGCTTTAGTTTGTGAGGCACTGATAAGTAAGAGTCCAGTCCATGCTCACCACATTCACACTTCTTCTGTTAAACAGTCTTCTGTTTAACCTTCTCTGCATGACTTTCCTGTCCATGCTCTCCACATCCACACTTCTGTTAAACAGTCTCCTGTTTAACCTTCTCTGCATGACTTTCCATTACCCCTAACCAACCTCAAGTTGGACATCTAAGCTTCTTCCACCCCACCCTGGACACTATCCAGATGTCACTATAGCAAAGCTGCTGAGAGGAATGGGGGATGCGGTGCAGCAGTCAAGGCACTGCTGTCCCAGATTTTTCCTTCAGGGGAAAGGATATCATATCTCTAGAATAAAGATATAAATAAAAATACACAGGTTATGCACATTTGCTTCGGTTGGAAAATTATGAAAATTATCTCAGGAAATTGTTTTCAAATGTTGACAGTTACAGATTAAATATAGCAGCAATTCAGAGCTCTCAGTTCTCAACACAGTTTTTAGCCCCACTTGGGACAGCTGATGAGTCAATTCCTAGGAAAGGCAAGAGGTAGTTCTTGGTAAAAAAGCCGGCAAGTCTGCCAGCTACTGAACGTGCGTGAGCCAATCTCTTGTCCTCACTTGTCCTCATTTGTGTATATGACCATCCTACCTCAAGCACGTTCATGTTTATATGGCTATGTTAAACTCTGCAGTTGCCCACTGTGAAAAATACAAGACAACTAACTCATCCCAGACTTCTTGGTTTCATTACAAAGGACTAGGACCATTGCTTACTCAAGGTATCAAGCTAACCAAGCAGAGATGCTGGTATGTCAGTGAGATGTTTTAAACCAAATCTTTCAAATGAATTAGAAAACAGAAGATGACATATGTGTGTGTCTGTGTGTGTCCCTTCATTTACATGGGAAGCTGGCAGTTGTCAGTGAAAGAAAAATCATAGTGCATAGTTTTGCCAGTGCATGTCGTGACTGCCTGCACAGGTTTATACCTGTAGATATATATGAAAAAAATAGATTACATTTCAAACAATGTCTATAGCAGCACCAATCCACTAGACATCAGTGGTATCAGGTATTTAGATATTAGATAGTCTGAAAAACAAACAAACAAACAAACAAAAGATAAGAAAAAAGAAAAAGAAAACTTCATACAATTTTCCTAGAGTAATCAATCTCTTTTTGAGAATAATGCACTGAAGTCAGTGGGTTACTGAAGTTGTCACTTTGGTATGGTTTATTTTTGGTCAGGAGATAAGCATGGTGATGGTCAAATCATCCATGCAAATGCCCAAATAAGCACCAGCAGGAGACCACCAAGCAGCCCACACAAGGAGCTATGCTAGCACACAAAATCCCTGGGATATTAGCATTGCTTAGCTCCCGGTGTATCCCTGTCCTGCTCCCGGTAGTTTGAGAAGCTTTGTATTTGAAATACTACCATTTGTACTAGAATTGAAAAGCAACTGGAAATGCAAAAGGCTCTAGTCCCAGTGGCATGAAATCCAGTCTCTTCATTAGCATTAGGCAAAGAAAACCTTTAATTAACAGAACAGTTAAAATGAGTTTCTAGTTATAACCTAGGAACATGTATTTCTTTCACGTTGTAAGGTATTTCAATATAAATACTCTAATCTTATGTTAATCCTTCCATAGCATTGCTCTGTTTTAGAAATTCATTTCAGAGGAGCCAACTGATATTAGTGGAGGTGATCCCAAAGCAGGGCATTTTGCCGCCTCTATCACCATGGAACAGACATCTCAGCAGAGACAGATTTACTGAAGACATGAAGAATCACCGCAAAAGGAGAACAAAAACATCCTGCAGGGTCTCTTGGGAAAAAAGGATGAATGACATCTTCACTGTCCCTACTCCTCTTGTGTGGAGCAGCTGGCACACAGGAGAGCTCAGAGCAGGGAAAATGCCAGCTACCCCTTCTTCGTTCAAGAGTTAGTCAGGACCTTCTGCACTAAGAGCGATGAGCTTCATAAAGGGAGAACAGCACACTCACAGC